AATAATATCTGACATTTATAAATCAGTTTAAGAGTTAATTTTGTTTTTGAACAATTTACAAAACAAAATTGGTATTGTTTTTGAATGATTATTTTTATAAACATTATGTCACATAGATCAGTGTATTCTTACATTAATTACTACTACAAAATACACTTGACTAACATTTATTTTTGACAAATTCTAATGCGGTTCTATTGCACAAAAAAAAAAAACATTGATTATTTAATCTCAAATTTTAGGATACAATTTTTAAATATGATACTAATATTTCAAAAAATATTATTAATAAAAGTTTTTTTTTTTTTTTTGTAATTTGACTATAAAAGTTCTCAAAAAAAATTATACTGTATTCAATAAAAAAAATAATAATAATACAGTTTGGTTTTCGTTGTTGCTGTTGTTTTTGTAAGTTGTAAAAAAATTGTGATTGCTGTTGAACAGTGATTTAAACACTGTATATTATTTTTTTTTTGGTATGACAATACAGATAGATGATGACAAGTGCAGAATCTGTGTAGAAGACAGAATGAAGTTAACAATCATCGTTGTTTCACAGTGTTGCCATTGCTGTTGTTGTTTTGTAAAATGGTGAAAAAAAAAAAAATAGGAAGTCAGTGAACTGTTATTTTTGCAAGTTCAATGAGCAATGGCAAAAAAAAAATGAATGAATGAATGAATGGTAAGAAAAGTGATTGAAGATGAGCAGTATGGAAATTATTGAATGATGTGATTTGTGTACCGTAGTTAACTGCTTCTCTTTACAACCCCCAAAACAACAACAACAACTATTTGTCGGGTATATTGATATATGTCAGTATCTGTGTTTGCCTTTGTCTCACTCTGTGTGTGTGTGTGTGTGTTTGTACTAATCGCCAAATCAAACAGATAAATTGGCAGAACTGTAATATGTTTAAAAAAAAAAAAAAAAAAAGATCTAAAAAATTTGTTTCTATAGCCATATTGTTACGTATGCTAATTTTATGGTTATTTATTTACGATTTCATTTGATTATTTTCACTGCAAACTTTTCGGGTCATTTGTAATTTTTTTTTTCTTTTTTTTTTTTTTTTTTTTTTTTTT